CTCTACGCCATCGCCACCGGGCACATTTATCCGTAAATTTATGAACTTTGCAAACAAGCATTTAATAGATATAGATAAATACTAATTACAATACTACTCACTACACACCACCTGACAATTTTTAAAATTGATATGAAATTTGTTATCAAAAAAATGTGTTAATACCAATATTGTTACTATATAAGTAAGATAATACAATGAATTTAAAATTTAAGTTAACAAATTGAAATAGAACATTATTTCTTTATTAATTACTTAATAAATTAGTAGAGCTGTCCTCTTATTTTATTATTTTTCCAATTTTTGTCTAACTTTCTTTGATATGCACTACACGCCACTGGCTGTTGTATTGATGTAGTTTAATATAACCATGATAAAATTGTTTATCAGTTTCATTTTCAATTTGATTTTATAATCCACAAGATCAATTTTCAATTAACCGTATAAGAAATATACAAGTGACATCTTACCAAATTGCCCGCCGTTTTTATTGCATTTAAACTGGTGACGGAAATGTGTAAAATCAAACAGTCGAAGAAACTATAAGAAGTGAAGCGAGCACTTCGCAATTGGTGCGGCATCCTCAATAAAAATTCATAAGCGACAACGATTTAATCACTGTTAAATACACGGTCCATGCCGAGACAGCACCTGCCTTCACCTGTTGTAGGTACCTTAGAGTAATAAAAAAATATTTTCTTAAACGCGCGTTTAAACGAATCAAGTCTCTTGTATTCATTTCGCATAAGCGTGGAGTGGTAGTTCGATATGTTTTATTCTAAACTCTTTAAAGCGGCCCATACATTATCAAACAAATTGCGCAACGAAGCGTTGCGCAACGTTGCGTTCCACAACTGCCTCACCCATGCACTTAGTAAAATTTTTACTTAGTAAAATTTTTATCAAACTTTTTATTAAAAGTTGTGCATTGTTTGAGAAACAATCATGTCCTCAATTTCCATTGCGTCAATTATTATCGTATATACCCTAGATGATGTCAATGATACCAAAAAACGAAAAAGAAAACAAAGAATTTGGATGAAAGAACTAAAAGAACTAAAATATTGCACAACGAAGCGCAACACACACATACACTACACAACGCGCTGCGCAAACGTCTGTTGCACAAAAGAATGATTCATTTTTCAAGAACATTCTTGAAACTTATCAAACAATTGTGCAACGCATTAAACGTTACCATACATTGGCAACTCGTTGCGCAACAGTCTGTGTTGCGCAATTTGTTTGATAATGTATGGGCCGCTTAAGTATCTGAATATATTAATCTCTTTAGTAAAAAAAAGGATCAATAAACGTACCTAGTAAAATTTTTTGGTTTAATGACGAGCTGAAAACATATGCGTGACCTTATAAAATTTCTAACAAAAATAAAAAAACAATTATAAATTCCCAGAAATCAATACTCTTTTCTATCTTTTTGGCAATCTTTTTGGAAAACATACAAAGCAAAAAATGATTTTTGCAAAAAACAAGCAAACTCGAAATATATTAAAAACTCTGACAATGTGGTGAAGGTTAATGGGATATAATAAATTCACAGAGAGAACCAATAAAATAAAATAATAAAAATAGTGTGAGTATGAATCTTACTGCAAATAATGTTAATGATATTTTTTTGGGGAATATAGCCGAAAATATTGTAAAGTCTCTGAGCGTAGAAAACCGCACAGCGCTTTACTTTATAAGAAAATTTTCAAATAAACCTTTAGATCTATTTCCTTTAGTGATGTAACTTTCATAGAATCTCGAAACGCCGTGAATTCATTAAAAAATAAACATAGTAATGATATTTATATCATGACCATTCTACTAGTTAAAAAAGTAATAAACCTATTAATATATCCTCTAACTAAATTATTCAGTAGATGTATAAGAGGGGGTACATATCTTAGTTGTTTAAACATCTCAAAAATCGTAATAGTATTTAAAAAAGTAGTTATGGAAGTAAGTACTAAAATGGAGTACTATAAAAGAATAGAGTAGACATGACAAAAGACCCAGGTATTAGATGTCATCCACAGAATCAAATCCCACAAGTGGCAATAGGCAGGACACCTGGCAAGAAAGACGGACAACAGATAGGACACAAAAATTACAGCATGTTACCCACGAGGAATTAAGAGACCTAGAGGAAGACCAAACCTGAGATGGGACCATGATATTAGGAAATTAGCAGGGATTGTGCCCGCATAGCCAACAATAGACAACAATGGGCTCAACTACAAAGAGAGTATCCAAACTTGTGATGGAGGCTACACCATAACTAAAAATGTTAGAATAATCTGAGAATGATGATGATGATGAAAGTGTGAACAAATACAGACCTATAGCTTTATTACCCGCACTGTCAAACATGTTTGAATATTTACTGAAACACCAGTTAACACATTACTATCAATATAATAGCATGTTCATAGAGAATCAGTTTGGGTTTTGTAGGTAGCATCACGTAGAAATTCTAAGAAATTTATTTGAGTACCTTAGACCGTTGGATGATTCTCATTCTAGGTTAGGAATGGAGTCTTCCAAGTTCTTGAGAGAGTTCTGCTTTAAGTTTGTTTCTACTTGTGAAAATGAACGGTTCTGGTCCAGTTAGTAGAGTAAAAAAAATTTAACAAACAATTGAAACTGATACTGGACATTTGCTACTGCTTACTTTAAAAATATTATGTAATAATTGTAAAATTTTGGGAGAGATTTCTTACCAACTATAATAATGACAGTGTTGTATTTTTTTGTTACTCTAAACCCGGTACCTACTAGAATAAAAGGCCCGGCCTAAATAAATACATTTGCTCCGCGATACGACGGCAAACACTAAGATTGAGCAATGGCTGCGTGCGGTCTGGTTTGATCTGGAGTCAATATTGGTAGAAGTCGCTACGTTGACGTTATGCCCGGATCCGAACGCTGAAGGATTTAGATCGTAGGTTTGATCTGCCGACCATTTATGCAACCTGTGTAATTTACATCGGTGTGTTGTAATAATGCACAATTTCCTTAAATATTTGCTAAGCGGTTTTGTTTTTCCTCATAGATACTGTTAATACAATATAATCTCTTCTGTGACACATATTTTGACAGGTATAACATACCGAAAGCTTTGCGGCTGGTATAAAGGATGATGTTAATAAGGTAGAATTTCTTAGTAATGACACGATTGGCCTCATTAGAGCTGCTGATAGCCTGATAAAAATATTTTCATATTTTATGAAATAACAGTACAAAAATTTACCCACATTTTTGAGTGTCTGTTTTGTTTGTCGTTTTTGAATGTCAATTACACGACATTTTTGAACTAAGAAAGGCTACTTGAATTACAAAGAGTTTATTTCTATTGTCATCAGAAATATTATACCAAAAATGTGTAAAAATTATAACGTATGATCGAAAAAAAAGGCATAAAAAAGGCTGATTAGGTTATGTCAATCACTAGACGTCATTTCCAAAAAATTGACATAAAACCTGTCAAAAAATTAAACACTAATTATAGAAAGATTTAAGAATAGAACGTTTCCAGAGACAAAAATCTATTTCGAAAAAAATTGTGTGTGCACTATGTGGGCATATTTGAAGTAAAAGTTCTTCTTACTTCCGTCTGCCTGTCTGTCTGCTTATTCATCTATCCGTATATTCATCTGTCCGTCTGAGGACTCCATTCGAGTACCTCTATCTACGTGCCTAGTTTGGTTACAATCGACCCTATCGATTCTAAACATCGAGAGGGTCATCCTGTAGCCCTTCCCCAATTATGCCGAAATCAACACACATTTTTCTTCAATATCAAATCATTAATCCGACCCTGATGAAGATGTAAACGAAACGACGTATCCAACTTTGCAGGGTACAACCGTGTGGCACCGTCGCTCACATAGCCACCCCAATTAAACATTTTGCTTGAAAACAGAATATTTTTTTATTTCACGTGTAAGTAACAATTCTTCTGTATCTGAAAATCTTCTGATGGTAAGAAATGCGAAAAAATATAATGACATATTTTATATTATTAATGTCACATATAGTATTATTGCATGTTTTATGAAGTATTAATATATCGGATAGGTTCTTGGATATCTCAAAGAACCGGGAATTTCCAGTTCTGAACCCTAGTTTATTATCAAGAAATTATGTTTTTAACTAAAAACTAAAAAAATTCCAAATTTTTTTTCAAAAATATCGCAGAAAAATCTCATATTTTCTGGGACTAAAATATACTACTAAAAATATTTGCACTTATTTAGGACTCACCCTGTATAGGGTGATCCACGGCTATGGTACGTTATAGTGTTTCCGCAACCGGAGCTGTTTTTCGGAACCAGTAATTTCGCCTCATGAGTCATTTTGAAAATATGACAGATTAAAATTTGAAAAGTACTTTTGCAAACATAAATTAATTAATTAAAAAAATTATCTTATTAATGAAGCAAATGCTGGAAATGTTGCCCATGGCGTCCAGTTGGCTTGGAAATGACGATCGATGACATTCCCCATATAATTTTACACATAAAATGACAGCGATCTTCAATTCATAACCATCGCTGACGCTGTTTTTATTCGATCATACGGTATAAGTAATTTCTTCAATTATTCTGTAAACTTTGGTAATACTATTGAAAATATACAGGATGAGTCTTAAATAAGTGCAAATATTTTAGTGGTAGTATATTTCGACCCCAGAAACTTTGGAATTTGGAATTTTCTTTCCTCTGGTTGGTCAAGCTCCATAAATCCTTATTTCTGATAGTATTTGGCCAGAACATTCCTACAATTTTTCGCAAACTGGATGAGGTACCGTTCACTCTTTATTTAGACATCCTGGATAGTTATGACCATGTTATGGCTTCTGTCCTATACATGAATGATACATATTTAAATTATTAAAAGTTTAGGAAACTAAAAAAAATTACACTTTTGGAAATAATAAAGCAAGTCATAATAAAGCAAGGTTTACTAAACTATTTATGTATTTTAACATTTATTGATAATATAATAAATAGTTACAGTTTAGTAAGAAATTTTTCATTTAATGATCCGGATCCTTTGATAGGAATATCTATATAATGCTGGGGAATGTTTGTTACTATTCGTATACACTCTTGATAATTCGTACATAGTCTGAAAAAAGTTAGCTCTATTTATTTAGAATTCAGGAGAGACTTAATTTTAATTATCGTATTTGTAGTAGGTGACCAGGGTGACCTAATAGATGAAATATGGTACATCCTAACTCGTGTTGCAAATCCATAGTTAATTTTGAATACTAAAAGTAATACAGATTCCTTACGTAGGCGTAAAATATACAGCAAGGTTTACAAAGTTCAAATTGGCTCCTCTACTTGGTCCTATTTCTCCATGAGGTGGATTAACCACAATTTCTTGAGTAGCTGTTGTTTTGTACACTTCAAAAAGAACCTTACTACCTAAAATTGCAAAAAAATGTAACAAACTTTTGCTAAATTTGAAAATTGTATCTGGTCTCTATTAGGTTTATGTACAGGGTGAGTTTTCTACGATGTTCTCTATGGGCATCTCGGAAACTACTGTAGCTAGAGGGAAGATATTGTACTACTGTAGCTAGAAAGAATTGCAGTTTTATAAGGTCAAATATATGCGCCGTTTGGATTTTTGAAAATGGTTATCGCTTACTAGATATTTCGAAAAAAAAATTTGGTTATTTTAAAAACGCTCTCTAATTCCATTATCATCTGTTTCAGATAAAAATTGTAGATAATCACATCCCTAATGAGATTGTGTTCTCCTTTTTTTTTCCTAAAACCTGTCATTTTTGACATATGACACAAACATGTTTTTTTTTAAATGGAAACCGTAGTTGGCCGTTACTTCATAAAAAGCGCCATTTTATAAGCTGTCCAGCGAAATAAGCTATAATACAATACCGTATGATAAAAAAACGGCCTCCAGTTGGTTTGGAAATGAACATCGATAACATTTTCCATATGATTTTACATTCAAAATGACAGCGATCTTCATTTCATAGCCATCGCTGACGCCGTTTTTTTTTTCGATCATATAGTATCTTTTTTTTGAAAAATTACTGAGTTATACAAGGTGAGTCTTAAATAAGCGCAAATAATTTTAGCGGTGGTGTATTTCTACGCCAGAAACTAGATTAGGAGTTTTTTTTTCGCGAGAAAAAAAATTGAAAATATGGAATTTTTTGATTTTTTTTTAGTTTTAAGTTAAAAAACATAATTTTCTGATAATATAGCAACACAGGTAGTTGATTAAATTTACAAGAAAGAAAACCCAGAAACGATCCAGTTGTTCTCAAAATTTAAGAAAAAATGATTTTTTTGAAAACTTTTAAAATATATACTCGGTTATTCTAGACTTATATGAAAAACGGTAAAGAGGAACCAAACAACCAAAAAAAAGAGGAAATGATACCAAACCGGTCTCTAAAAAGCGTAAATAACGTTCACCGGTCAATGTATTCTCGAAAATGTATAGTCCAAGAAGAGTTGAACCAATAATCCCACACGCTTGTCATTTGAAAAATTCATATTTACAATTTAGTTGTATCTCCATAAAATATTTTATTTGGATGTGACAGTTTGACATATCTAAGAGCAACGACGATTGAAGTTGTTTGTCTCCATGGCTAAGTGAACTTGTTTAAAAAAGATAAGAATTGGCTATAACTCGATTGAACTTGTTTCCACGGCTCACTCAGTAAAATTGTATAAAAAAAGATAAGAATTGGCTACAATAACTCGATTCAACTTGTTTCCATGGCTAACTCAGCGAAATTGTTTAAAAAAGATAAGAATTGTCTATAACTCGAAAAAAAACATATTATCGCTGGAAAGCTTAAAAAATTGCGTTTTTATGAAGTCATGGCCGTCAAAAAACATATAATTTTGTCATATGACAAAAATGAATTTTTGAAATATCTAGTAGTTAAGGCTTTTTCAAAAATCCGAAAGGTGCATATGTTTGTTCTCAGAAAACTGCAATTCTTTACCCATTTCCAGTAGTTTCCAAGATACCCATAGATAACATCGTAGAAAACTCACCCTGAACAGTTAAAGGGGTGTGAAGCATTCCTTCGTACTAATATCAAATATATGTTAGTCTGAACAACCAAACCAAAACAAATTATTTTCAACTACGATTGACCTAATAATGCAAGATATTGACTTTGTACCCTGTTTATTCCTGTATATTATGTAAGTATGTATAGCAATTATTCGTTTAAACTCTATAAAATAGAGTATAAACGAATAATTAACTCTAGAGAAATATTATAAAAAAGTACATGGATCTTCTTGATGATAACTATTAATAATTAACTAAATTTATTATAAAATTAACTATGGACAATCAAAGTAATTTTAATTTTTTTTTATGAAGGCAAAGTTAGAATAATACCTGATTTATTAAACAATGTTACAACAGCTTTTTCAGTACAACCATTTAAAACATATCCGAACTTGATATGAACGGGAATGACAGAAATACTGGGATAATAAATGTTGATACGTAAGGGAATTACCTAAAATTGAATTTAAATTTATTACGTTATATTGTATAAAAACAATAAAAATTTAAAAAGTATTATTGTTGAAGCTATGTATTTCTAATTACTTCATTCAGTTCTTCTGAATAACGAATTAATAAATTCTGTGCTATGGTAATAGACTTGTTGTCTTCGTCAAAATGAAATGGTCCGTCATCTATTACTTCATGTCTGGAATTATTGGCATCTGCGTTTTGAATTGCGTCAATTGGTGCAACAGGTTTAGTGTACAGTTTTTCGGCCCAGGTGTGAATATTCTCGTAAGTAACACTGCATAGAATAATAATCTAAAAATGTTATTATGTAGATAAAAATATCATCATAAATGATATACGACTGTTGTCTTTCGTCTTAGAATAACTAGGCCCGCAATATTTTATTTTAACCTTTTTAATATACGGGATGAGTTTTTGTAACATATTCCTTGGCCAACAGAAATAGTGATGAGCGAGACTGGTCGTGATCTTGCAGTCTTTTGGTCTTGGTCTTGCACCAAATGCAAGACCAACCATGCAAAACTTGCGGTCTTGCATTTTTTCACATTTATAATGTTACGGATTCCGTGGGTCCACTATTTTAAACTCACGATAAAATACTTAACGAATTTATTTTCTCACTTTATACACAATTACTAACTTATAACACACAACAAACTAACTATTTATAAGATTCCTTCACCAAATTGTCCGATTTTCAATTTCCACGCGGTATATTCAAATTTCAAAAACTGTCTCAGTTGGTTTACGGCTCCGGCTTCATAATTCTATTGATTGCTTCTCTCGAAATTTCCCAATTCTCGGAAAGCGTATTCTCTTCATACCAGAATTCATTGTCTGATTCCTTTACTTCCTCGACTTGACTAAAGATGGCGCCTGAAAGTCTCTTTAATTTCTGGTGGATGCTGCGGTTGTGCAGGCAACCAGTAATACATTTTTTAATTTCAAGTGGATGCGCCACTTTTCTTGACATTGCCCCCTTTCAAATTTGATCGTCCTGATCAAGGTTTCCTTGTCTGGTATCTTCAATCGATCCAGATGAACTACTTTCATCTTACTTCTAGGGCTGCGTTGAATCCGGTACACAACATCATTTATCCTCTTGATGACTGTATAAGGACCTTCCCATGCTGGAGTTAACTTTGGGGACCTCCCTTTCTTGCGCTGTGGGTTATATAACCATACCATATCGTCCTGTTGAAATCCCGTAGAATTAGCTCTGAGGTCGTAACGAGCTTTCATCCGGTCACTGGCTAGCGTAATCTTACTTCTCACGGCCTTATGAATTCCCAATAACCTTTCCTTCAGTTCATCCGCGTAGTCCTCTACGTTCGTGGTGCTGTCGTCTGGTGATCCGAACACCAAGTCACAAGGCAACCGTAATTCTCGACCAAATAAAATCTTCGATGGTGAAAGTCCGGTGGTGTTGTGAACTGCACTTCTATATGCCATTAGGAATAGTGGTATATGCTGATCCCAATCTCTTTGATGTTCATCCACCATTTTCGAGAGATGTTCTTCAATGGTCTTATTGAATCTCTCGACCATCCCATCAGACTGCGGATGTAAAGCTGTTGTCCTAGTCTTGTGAATACCAAGCAGATCACACATCTTCTGGAACAGTCTTGACTCGAAGTTCCTTCCTTGGTCAGTGTGAAGCTCTAAAGGAATTCCAAATCTACTGAAGACATTATTGACTAATACTTCAGCTACAGTCGATGCTTCTTGGTTTGGAATGGCAAAAACTTCTGGCCATTTACTGAAATAATCCATCGCCACTAAAACGTACTTGTTGCCCTTGTGCGTTTCAGGGAATGGGCCTGCAATGTCAACAGCGATTCTTTCGAATGGCAGTCCAACGTTATATTGTTTCATTTTTCCAGGAGTTGGCGCTCTTAACCCCGGCTACTGCACAAGTTTTACATTGTCGACAATCTACTTCTTGACATCTTCGGCACAATCCACCCAGTAAAACGATCTCAGCTTGCCTGGCTATCCGCTTTAATCTTACATTTGACCTCCAGTTTTTACCGTGAATTTTCCAATACCTGGGTAACTTTCTTCCTTGGTACCAGTGTAACTGAGTTGTTACTGTCCCGCCACCTCGCACTTTCCCACGTGCGCTTCTAACAATCCATTCTCAATAACCAGTGAATTCCACTGGAGCCCAGAGAGCTTTGAAAACGAGTTCTCCTCTGTCCGCAATATCCCGCCACGGTGGTCTCGCCGTTACCTTCCTTTGAGCCGTAGTATTGTCTGATGTCTGATCTTCCATTTGATCTTTCCTCACTGTATCGTCGTCCATGGTTCGTCAGTTCTAAGCTTCTTAAAATTCTTTATCTTGATAGTGCTTTCGCGATGCTCTTACTCTTTCTTGTCCAAGGTAGCCTCGTCGTCGATCTAGGGTCGTTGTCGATAATTTGTACCCGTCCCACATGGCACCCAGCGGTTTTCCTAGTTCCCGAACACAGCCCTTTGGTATCACCAGGTATCATCACAATTTCGGGAGGATCTTTCTTCCATATTTCTGGTCTCTTTTCTTTAGATACAGAAAATTCCTTACTTCCGATTTTCAGATGTTTCTAAGTGGTGATCAAACGAAAACCATGTTGACTGATCACATCCATACTCCATGATAAAATCATCTTCAATGTCAGCCACTCAAATGCCATGTGCCGGGAAACTTCAAATTCTAACTCCAATCTCCATGAAAATCCCTCCCCGTACAACTTCTGTAACTGTAATGTGTAAATACACTCTTCTTCTAAGAGGCATCATCTTCTCAACTCTTTTGCACTGAAAGTTAGTCCGCACCAACGATACACCATAGTAGCGCCTGTGTCCACAGTCATTCGAATTTCTTCTACCATTGACCTTCCTGTTGATCACCAAACTGTCAGCGGTTTTTCCTAGACTTTAACGGAAAACATCCTAGGGGCTCTGTTTCTTCAGCCAATACTCGCTCATTAGTGTTGATTCTTGTGCCTATGTTCTCTGGATGAAATGGAATCGTAATTGGACGCGGGTAATCCTGGGTTTTGATGTGAGTACTCCTGCCACATCTATAGCAACTTATGTCCTGGGATTCTCCTGATGCTGGATGTTCTCTGACAGGAATGGAATCGCATTTGGATGCGACAATCCTGTTTGATGTGGCCATTCCGCCATCTTATAAAGTAACCATGTCCTGGGATTCCTGATGTGCGAAGGTTCTTCGATGAGGAAATGGAACGTAATTTTGATGCGACAACTTCAGTTTGATGTGGTTATTCCTGCTGCATCCATAGCACCTCATATCCTGGAATCTTCTTTGGTTCTCTGTCTGGGTGTTGTTGACTCCTTTTGTTCACTAGTAATTCACATAGTTTATTGCATCTCCTCCAAACGTGATGTGTGAGAACTCTTTGGCTGTTCTCAACCGTTACCGAGCCTATCTTCTGTTTTAGGAATTGCAAGCAAATGCAGGTTCCCATTTCCAGCGCCCTGACGAGTACCTCTGCCGCTGGTGGTGTAGAAAATCGCGATATTTGCAGTGCCCTCTGTAATTCATTGTCCTCAGTCCGCTGATAGTAAAGCTACCAGCGAGTTCCTCCTCAAATCCTTCCAGTTTCAGGATACGTTAGGTGCCCAGCCGGGACGTGTCTGCTTTAAATTCCTGCAGACTCTCTCCGGACCTCTGCAGGCGTGTCTTGATCTGGGCCTGGTAAAGTTGGCGTCGATGTTGGTCGCCATATCTTCTGTCCAGTGCAGCGACCAAAGTTTGGTATTCCTGCTGTTGGGCTGCAGGAATAGTTTGCAACAGTTCCAGGGCAGGGCCACGCAGCGCGATGACAAGTGCCGCTGCTTTCTCCTGGTCAGTCCATCCGTTGGCAGCGGCGGCTGCTTCAAACTGACGGTGGTACATTGTCCATGTCGTTTGTCCATCGTAGGTCGGGGCCTTAAGGTTCGCTGTTCCTTGAACGCCAGGTGTCTTTACTTGTACCTTGGTCTTCTGTAGGTCCATCTCCAATCTTTCTATCTTCTGCTGAAGGCGCTCCTCCAGATCTTCTACAGCTTCTTGGAAGTGGTTCTGTTGTTCCTGGCAACGTACTTCCAACATTGATTGTTGCTTTTTTTCCATTTTTTCGAAACTTTTCTTGATACGGTCCTGCTCTTCAAGTTTTTCTTCTTGTCGACGCACTTCAAAACCTTGTAAAATTTTCTCGATCCGGTCCTGTTCCTCTTGTCTTTCTTTTTGATGACGCGCCTCTAAGCCTTCCAGAATTTTCTCAAGCCGGTCCTGTTCTTCTTGTTTATCTTTCTGGCGACGCACTTCTAGATTTTCTACAATTTTCTCCAACCGTTCTTGTCTAATTTCTTGATTCTCCATAAGCATTTTCTGTAGTTGGTCTTGTTCTTCTTGACGTCGTAGTTTTTCCCTCTCTTTTCTCTCTTCCAATCTGGCCTGTTCCTTCTCTTCTCTCGTTCCCCATGGAGTCTCTTCTTGATCTCTCCGGCTTTTCTTCGCAGCCCTCTTGTTCTCCGTCTTTCTCCTCTCCTCATATTCTCCATAAAATCGCCCAATAAATTTTGCTTTCTTACTCTCCATCTTCTTGGCTTGGGTTGTCCTCGTACCAACCATAAAATTCCCAAATCTGCGTAAAAATCGTCCAATCCACTTAATTTCTTCTTAAAATCCTCTTGAATCCCACTTCTGACACCAATTGTTACGGATTCCGTGGGTCCACTAATTTAAACTCACGATAAAATACTTAACGAATTTATTTTTCTTACTTTATACACAATTACTAACTTATAACACACAACAACTAACTATTTATAAGATTCCTTCACCAAATTGTCCGATTTTCAATTTCCACGCGGTATATTCAAATTTCAAAAAACTGTCTCAGTGGTCGATGGCTCCGGCTTATATACTCTATTGACTGCTTCTCGAAATTTCCCCAATTCTCGGAAAGCGCACTTCTTCATACCAGACAATTCTCATTGTCCGATTCCCCACTCTCGATCCTGACTAAAAGACAGAGCCCGAAAGTCTTTAACTCTGGAGTGGATACGTTGTGGTCGTGCAAACCAGTAATACATTTTAATTTCAAGGATGCGCCATTTTTCCTTGACACACACATGATATAAAATGATTTATTTTATTCCAACATTTTTCGTGTTTGAAAGTTTTAATATATTACATATAGTATTTCTCCGACCATTGCATAAAAATTCAAAAAAAGAAATGCTAATATATAATAATTTTCATCAGACAAATACAAACACGAAATAACGCTTTATTGTGCAAAAAGCCAAAATAGCTTCATCGACAAAGCATTTACAAAACAAACAAAAGCACAAAAAAATATACAAATAATAAAAAATATACAATACAAAGCATACAATTCAAAAAAATTTAAGTCTTTAAAATTACAAATAGAACATACATGGACAATTGCAGAACATAAAAAAAAGGCGTATCAATAAAATTTTACAATAGGAAGATTGTAAATAGATATAATTTTAAGAGTTATAAGATATTAAATAATTGACCTTTGACCAGTGTGTGAGATGATCAAAATTTTTAAATTCAAAAAAGTCGTTTACCGCATATAGGGCTCTCTCCAGTAAGTATGATTTCAGAGCTTTGCGAAATGCGGGAAAGAATGAAAGCGACTTGATATTCAAAGGCAGATGATTGTACATTTTTTGACATTGTACAGTATTGAACCTTTAACTAGTTCTAAGTTCGGGGTTGGTAGATAAAGATCGTGCTCCGCATTCCTAAGTGGATAGTTATGAGATGACCTTTCGGGAATAGCAGATATGGGCTTGCGGATTAAACAAACGGATTCAAAAATGAATAAAGAAGGAAAAGTCAGTATTTTGAAATTTTTAAAGAAATTCTGGCAGTGAAATATTCTAATAATTTCTTTTATTAAAGTTTTATTTGCATTAAATTACTAAATATACTATTTATTTCCTATTTATAAAATGCTTGTAATAAAAATCTAGGATATATCCTCTATTATAGATTAAGGACAACACCGGTATCAGGTCTAAGGAGAGACCAAGTTAAAGAGGTGGAAAAAAAAAGAAAGATCATCCAGCCTCCACCTCACGAGGAACTCAGATGGAGACAAGATCCTCGACTGTGAAGGGCACGGAGGGCCAAACCCCAATCGTGGAAGGATGTATACCCTCGGAGGAAGAACATCTGTTGTCAGAGGAGGATGGGAAATACACTGTCCCTCCTACAACAGGAAAAGCCTCATGTATGATGAGTTATAAACTGTATGATGAGTTATAACTCAAGGAAGAGGGACACAATAGATCTTTAAGGTTACGGTGATTAAACTCATTCCTTCCCACTCTACATTCTAGTGCCTTCTTCAAAAGCGAATATCTCCAACAAAAGTACAGCTATTGAGATGAACCATAGATATTTTTTATACAAGACGATAAAATGGTATTTTTAATGGTATCGTCGACTGAAAAGATTAATTCACGAGCGATGAAATCGCGAGTGAATTAATTTCGGGAGACGATAATGCAATTTTATCGTCGTGTAGAAAACTATATTTTTTTCCATAGCGTTATACATAGAGTTACGTTTTAAAAAATATTCAGAAATTATTATTTTAAGGAATTTATTACGAGTAGAAAAAATATTGTGCTGGGCATAGGTGCTGGGTTTGGCTGGGTTGACGTTGGTTTCTATGTTTCTATATAATTTGACAAATAAATAATGCTGTCTCTTTAGTTGTCAGTTTTGAGTTATCTATGGTTTTGAGTCCATATTTTTTAATTCTCTTTCGTGTCGATTGCTGATTGAATTGTAGCCAGAAATGGCTCAAAACGAAATAAGTAAATTACCAACAGATATTCAGGCTGAGGCGACAAACACCATATCCAAACTACTTCCATTTAAATCCCGAATAACTTATGAAAAGGAATACAAACATTTTCAAAAATGGAAGCAATTAAAAAACATGCGAGAAGAAATAAAGTTTTTAACCTATCCTCGCTGTTAAAGTGTCATTTAATCTACCCCAAAGAATATACCTAGCTAGAAAAAGAATGGACTCTGCCATACTGAAAAATGATCCTACAGAAGTGGCGCCATCTATTGAGTAGGGCTTGTTTTAAATGGATCGAAGCGCAGGCTTTTTAAATGAGCGTATGTATTGAATTTTACTCTAAAATAATTAAATTTGATGATTAAATCTTATTTTTTACACAAATTCAACAATACTAATAACAAGTATCGTTGTGATGTGTAGAAAATAAGATTTAACAGTATAATTTATACAATTATTAAATAAAATTAAAGCCAAACATGTGAAATATTAATTATTATTTAAAGTTTTTATTTATAAGGCAAATATTTAAACATTGTTTATTATAATAAAACAAGACCAACGTAATACGCCCAAAGTTTTGTAAATGGAGTAAATATAAATAGGTACTTAAATGATGACAAAAATAAAAGACTTACATTATATTTTCAGGGCCACAAACAAAAGGAATTGTCTAATTAAAACACATATAACAAATTATAGTTTGAAAAACGTTTTAATAATCATTTTTGATGATTGGCGCTATGACAACGACAATATTTTTTGAGAATTTGACAATAGTATGACAATGGCCGTTGGAAACTATGGAAACTACAAAAAAAATCTGATTGAACGCCATCTGGCAATAACTAGTAGCAATTTCTTAACCTAAAAATTAATTGCACTACCACCTAGCGCCCGAGGCGGGAACTATTTTATTTGAAATTGCCGTGGAAACGGTGGAACCGCTTTTGCTATTTCACTTTCCGGCCCCTGATCTACCCTTGCGGTTAAAGTACTATTTTATCTACTATTTTTTATAGATATAAGGCAATTTTAACAGTTGCTATGGAAAAAAATAAACTATCGAGAAAAGATTTACCTAGATCAGAGCCTAGATGACAAAATGATTTTTAAATTTCTTGCTGTCTTAATATATTCGACAGGGTGTTTAAAACACCAAAATTTACGACCTAATAATGAAAGACAGAATAAACTGTTAAACTCAATAGGTATTAGCAGTTATTAGTAACTGATGGGATTGACAGACGAATCCATAAACTGATTCTAAGAAACAAGTCTATACATTCTATGTGAGTACGGTATGATTTTGTGTCGGACAATGACAAGCCATTGGGAAAGAGCTATATGACAAGTTCAGTCTTTATGTTATTATATTCTTTGAAAAACTGGAGAATAAAATCTGGAGACAGCAAGGAGACTACAATAGATTTTTAAAGATCGATCTGGAATAGTGCACCTCATCTAAATCATCGAATCAATTTTAATCTCATGGCGTCCTTTTATACTGTTTTCTGACTATAGATATGATACTATTATTAAAAATAAACTATCTTTAATTAGGCTTACATTTTTGCATTCTCCAGGAGCTAAAGCGAAGTCAACTTCGTCCTTTTTGGGACAAAATGGCTTGCCAACATCCAATCGCCCTTCTACAGTACAACTTAAAGGATTCCTTGCTTTGAATTTGAATTCGAAATCTGATTTCCTCTGTAATATTACATCGTTTGCGAAAATGTGCAAATTTGTATGATCGTTTTCTATGGAAAAGTCTAAATAAGGTCTATATAACCTAACTGAAATCTCCACAATAATAAAGTTACGTTGTCTAAAAAAATAATTTGACTTGAACCTAAAATAAAAACTAAATTTAAAAAAATGTTCTCACTAGATATTCTGAAAAAAATTACCTATCGTCTTTGTTAACAAATATTCGACCAAAGATATATCCTTTGATAATAAGTTGTTTCTCTTCAGTTTCGACATTTTTTGGCGAAAATAAAATATTTATTGTTTCCTTGCTGTTTTTAGAGACCTGACTTTTAGTTGGAAAAACCTATTTATAATTTAAAAAATTCGTATGACAAACCCCATTAAATGCAGTAGTATCTATATCTTCAATCCTTTGGAAATGTTCCATTATAACAAAACACTACAACTAAATACCTATCCGTTGTGCCCATAGATTTAGTAAGAATATATAATATTTATATATAATATTTATATATTATATATATATAATATATATATTTATAATGTCTTTGGTTGTGCCTAAAGTGTCGCTTGGTTCAGAACCTGACAAATAACAGCTCCCACTCTAACGACTAACGAATTAAGTTGAAATTTAAAATTAGAGAGTTCCAATATAGCACAATGAATGACAAGTTAGACCGCAAGAAACTGTAACAACTGGATAATAACTATGATATTACTTAAGAAATGGTAAAGAATTTAGAGAAATAAATGTTTATACAAGGCAAACAATTACAGGATAGAGTATTTGGGTCTTAAGCGGCGTTTCCCTTGGTCAATTTGACAAAGTTTTCCTTGGTCAAAGATCTATATCTAATCTCTATCTCTAACTAGCTGAGCATCAGTTGGGCTTCGTCGTGATTTCCTATGTTTATAACTTTTGGGACTTCACACATACTATCGCCGATATATCCAGGGCTTCCCCACCATCGCTAAACCATTGACAAGACTTACCGAAGGATAGAGGCGTTTCTCTTGGGATTCAGCTACACTCTTGGCAATGGAAACTTTATATTAGATACCGACGCCGACGCTAGTAATGTTGGATCAGGCACTGTTCTGTCTCAGATCCAGGATGGTCAAAAAAAGTAATTGGATATTTTAGTAAGACATTGTCAAAACCGGAAAGGAACTACTGTGTTACCAGACGAGAATTACTAGCAGTAGTCAAAGCAGTTGAACACTTCTACAAGTACCTCTACGGAAGAAAGTTCTTGTTAAGAACAGACCATGCTGCTTTGAAATGGCTGTTGCAGTTTAAAAGTCCTGAAGGGTAGGTAGCTAGATGGATCGAATGATTGCAAGAATTTGATTTCGGCACAGAACATAAAGCTGGGGTAATCCATCGAAATGCCGACGCACTGTCCAGAAAAATGGACACGACTTAACCATCAGGAGTAATGTCCGAGTTGTTAACGGTGCTTCAGAGTTTTCGACAGGACGATCAAAGGCAAGGTACTTAAACTGTTTAGTTTATTTGGATCAAATGAGGAAAGGTTTTAACCATCAACTCTCTTTACAACCATCTTTGTAAAGAGAGTTGAATCCGAGACATCTTGGATCACTAGGTCCTTGATAACAAGAAATCTATCAAACATTTATTAATTTTATTTAAAGAAATATATTGAATTATACGCACTATGAATATGCAACTTGAATTATACGCACTAGTTTTGGAGTGAGTGTTTTACCATTAGGCTACAGAAAAGAATCTCTAATAGTCTCTTTAGAGGTGATAATAGGCCTTGAAGAGAATATTTTAACTTAAAAACGAATAGCAGTTCCAAAACAGAATTCTAATATCTCACCGATACTGTAGTTCATTTATGATTATTCAATAAAATTTGAATAATCTGGCATGTAAGACCAAAGTTATGATACAGAAAATAAAATTTGAAAAATCTGGCATGTAAGACCAAACTGATACAGAAAAGACAAATATTTTCTAAAATACTGTGGAACTTATAAAATACTGTGGAACTATGGATAGGAGCTTAGATGGGTGGAGAACCAGAATGGAACTACTAAGTTTTGTATTTTTTTTTATTTTAACGGGTTTTGTTTTATAAGTGACACTCTCAGAAGATTGCAGACACTCTCTTTTATACCGAATTTACCTCTATAAATTTGCAGCCTTCAATCCCAAAATACTCCTCGGTGAAATCAAAATCAAACATGTTTTCACTTGATTTGTTAACATCACAAAGGAAATTAAATGCGGGCTGGTCCGACTCAATATCCTTATTTGGCCACAAAAACACGTGCCACGATACCTCTACATCCACAGATGAAATGTTTGAAATAGTCACGTTTCTTATAATGTCATCAGAATGCATTGCAAGACTGGAGCCAAATCTAAAAGAATAACGCATCTTTAAAGTGTTAAGTCGTAACCAATAAAATCTACGGGGCAAATATTCCTACAGAACCTAGAAAATTATAGTTAAATGATTCTGCTCACAACGATAGGAAATTCCATACAAATTTTCTAGTGTTCAAATGAGTCGCAGCCCCCCCTAAAAGATTTTTTTTTTTCAACAAGCGAGATTCAAAATAGGCTTGTTTCGAAAGGTCTACAATTTTGGGCAAGCGGCCGATTTTAACGTAATTTTAAGAAAAAATATTTTTATTATGTTTTAATTTTGTGTCAAATTAATGCTACCTGGGTATAGTTGAGGTCTCAAGAAAAAAATCACCTTTATTAGTCTATTACCTTACGATAGGATACTTGTTGATGGATCCAATGCCAAATGGTACTTGTAGTGGACAACCAACAACTTCAATTACAAGGGAAAAACTAAATAATGATAAGTCTAAATATTACGAAATTTCAAGTCAGGGTGTATTTCCGCGATGTATTAGAGGATATATCGCATATATCTTCGCAATCGAAGATTCGATGAAGCTAAGAATTCCCATTTTTCAGGGCAGCCGGTTGTAAGCAGAGCTATACAAATTGTTTTTCTAACAATGGGGTGCCATGAACTTCTTCTGAAAAATTAAAAGAAAATATAATTTTTTTTTTTTTTTTTTTTTTTTTGAAAATTAGTAGGTAGAAAATTAATGATTCTTCTTCTTTGGGTGTCATGTGCTATGCCGCACGTTGTCGATCATTCGTATGTTTTATGGCTATAAGACGTACTTTTTGCCCAGGGTAAGAAATACATTATCTCATAGACGTACGTTTTGATGGGGTTTGATATTTTTTCGAGTCAAGAGTAAGCTACCCTTAGGACAGTATTTATTTAAAATGTCTGAGTAAATTATATTGAATTCTCCTTATCTAAAGATAGCTTAAGTTTTAATTTTTATAAATATTGTATATTTTTTTTTATAGTTTTTAAAAATGGATATTGTTATATTTTGTTCTAGTTTTTTATATTAGTTGTTTTAAGTTTTACATTATTTTAAGGTACTTACGCGGACGCCAGCTGGATAGACATGACTGGTTTATTATTCAATAA